AAAAGGCTTTTCCATCTGCAAAATCAAATACCTGATTGGCAGACCTCTAAAAGACACTAGTTTTTGCCATTCTACTTTCTCCCATTCATTTTCTTAGAAACTACATTAACTGTATTTCAAACAAAATAACGACAACAATAAAAGATTTGTTTTCAAACCAAGCAAGCTAAGTCCTACAAAATACCTTATACATGTGACCTCTCTCTTAATTTACCTTTTAATTTTCCATGTCTCCCAGATGGAAGAAAATTCCATGCCAAAAAAGTATATACAAATAATCCCTTAACCATTCTATAAATAAAGTTTGGCCCTTAATTTAGGAAATCTCAATACTTTATTGGAACTCAACTTCATATCTGTGCCATTACCTAACCCACAGCTTATCCCAAGTAGGTGTTCTCCATTAAGTGTTCAATTTCAAACTGCCATTACCTGTGATGCCTCTCCTTCATTCACACATTAACTTTCTGTGTCCTCTCAGCTAAATTTTTACTTCAATGGCTTAACTCTAACGAAAACAAAAAGATCACAATCTCTACTATATTTAGAAGCTTTATATTTTCTTGAAAGCTGTGCTTTTTATAGTGCTAAACTGGATTAATTGCTTTCTTACTACTCTACTGGAATAAATACAATTTACTTGTGACAAGGATTAGCTGTCATAAATGTAGGAAGAGTTAAAAACAAACTAGAGACACAAAATCTGGGTTTCAGTTCTGACTCAGCCTCCTAGTAGCTGGCTAACTACTTGAGGTTCCCAAACTTCAGCTTTTTCATTTGTAAAAAATGGAGAAGAATAATATCTACCTCTAGTGTTACTGCAAGGATTATGATAATTTACATGAAATCACTGTAAACAGTAAAGCATCATAGAAATATTGGGTAATACTGGTGGTATCCTGGTGGTATGAGTAACCAACAGACTAGACAAACATGCACCTCAAATAAGGGACTACTTTTTTCACAAAATAAACATCACTTTCCAAAACAAATATGCATCAGTAAGACAGCTCGAGGTAAACTCTGAACTAGGATTCAGGCATCTGGATGAATGCATCTTCTTCGGCTAGTTTTACCATTAACTCTACATATCAACACAGGCAAAATAACTTTCCTTTTCATCTCAAATGCCTTCATCTAAAAAATCTAATTACTGGACCAGATGTTCCATAAGTATTATTACAGCCCTTATCACCCTACTAAATGACTAAGTATTCAAAAGAGTCATTTAACATTATATTCAAAACTTAGGGCACTGTTTGATCTACCAGCAAAAGAGAACTTAAGGGCAGACGACGATCAAAAAAATTTTTTTAATTTTTTTGATTAAATAAAAATGGAATTATATACAATTCTTGAGAAGCAAAGGAAGAGATAAACTACCCTGTTTTCTTTACTAGTTCTCCCTCTAAATGACTAGTGATCAACAAGGTGCATTAACAAAAGGGCGGGGCTCCTTCCCACAAGCTTTTTGGGAACCACCTACTTCCCAAAGAGGTGTAACTGCTTCCTCCTTGCCTTCATCTGCCAAGAAACTTGAAAGATTAAGGTTTATATTGTCTGAGAGAGGATTTTATTTTTCTTTTTACTTGGGTGGGGTTGGCAAGAGTCATCTGGTAAACATATCCTATAAACACCATTATTCACAACGCCAGGTCTCCCCGCAAAGTCTTAAAAGATCTGTTTTTAGAGTAATACTAATTTTTAAAAATGAGTTCAGACTATAACTCAGAATTAGATATTCCTGTGTTAACAGTAATTAGTGCTGCCAACTGCCAAGTTTTCGCTTCCCCGATTTATTCACCCTCCCGCGTCTCTGCAGAGACTACGATTTGCCCTCTCCAAGCACCGCGCCAGGTCCCGAGGGAGAGTCCCCAGCGTCTTCCAGGAGAAGGAAGGCCGGGCAGCCCAGGCCTCGGCGCTACCACCCCTCGCTCCTCACCGATGACGATGCGCAGGTGCTTGAGGCGAGTCAGTGCGTCCTTCTTGGTGTCCAGCACCTTCTGGGTGGACTTCTTCACGTCCCCGTGCGGCTTCTTGGAGAACATCCTGCCGCTGCCGCTACCACTGCCACTGCCACAGCCGGCTCCCAGCCGGCTCCCGGCGGCAGAAAGTGGAGGGAGTGGGCGGGGAGGAGACTAGCCCGAGCGGCTCATTCGCTCCCCAGCCTTGCGGGCCCGGGCAGAGCCGACTCCTCCCCGATCCAGGCTAAGGCCGCCACCTCCACCCGCCTCGCGCCGCGGCTCCAAGGCACCTTCAGCTCCGGCTCCAATATGGCGGATCCCCTCTCCCGGCCCTGCACCGAGCGAGGTAGACCCGGGCGGGCCGCCTGCCGCCGCCTCCCGCCTCCAGCGGCCACGGCTCGCCGCCACAGGCCAGGGCCCCGGACCGAGAGCCACGGAGGTGGAGCTCTCGGCGGCGCAGCACAACTCTCTCCCTGAGGCCCCCTTAAGGTTGAAGCTTCTTTAGCAGCTTACACTCTGCACAGGCCGAAACGGAGACAAGTGTGGTAGTGACTGGGTTTCACGACTTTGCCGTCAGTGGCGAACAGTCTCCGTGGCAACCGCCTTCTGACGTCAAGGGTTCTTGACGTCATGCCAGCATGAGATCACCCGTGGCACTCCCCACCTTGGTTTCCTGTGTAAGCAGCCAAAGGAAAAGCCCAAGAAAGGCAAGGAGGGTAGTTACTGCGTGCTCCATTGTAAGCAAAGTGATAGTAATAAGCAAAGAGAAATGTCCATGATTTATCTTTGAAAATGTGCATAAGTTGTTGTGGTCACCAGATCCTCTAGCAGAAAGGTAAGCGATGCTACAGGTTGGCCAATTTGTTCTGTCCTAAATCTATTACTAATAATATTTCCTGCATTGTATATGTATTTTCTTTCATTTTTTTCTATTTGCTATCCCTTTTTTTGATATTTTTTCTATCATATCCCTTTTTTTGCCACAAACAACTTGACAACAGAAAGAGTTAAGCAGAGTTATGTAGGCTTTTTATATATATGTAAAAGTAATCTTGCTTTCCTTTCCTATTGTGCTGTTTTAAAAATCTTTTTCCTGGCTGGGCATGGTGGCTCATGCCTGTAATCTCAGCGCTTTGGGAGGCCGAGGCAGGTGGATCACCTGAGGTCAGGAGTTCAAGACCAGCCTGGCCAACATGGTGAAACCCTGTCTTTAAAAAAAAAAAAAAAAATGAAAAAAAAAAATCTTCTTACTATCTGCATCCCACATAAGAATGAATATGTTGTCACTTTTTCCTATGCAAAGAAAAATTCAAGATTCTTATAAAAAAATCAGTGAAATTCTGAATGACATAAATTGAAATTTTTCTTGGAAACTTTTTTTTTTTTCCCTTTTCCAGACAGGATCTCACTCTGTCACCCAGGCTGAAGTGCATTGGCATGATCTTGGCTCACTGGAGCCTCGACCTTGCAGGCTCAGGTGATGCTTCCACCTTAGCCTACCAGTAGCTGGGACCACACGCGCTCCACCACATCGGCTAATTTTTATGTTTTTTGTAGATACTGGCTTTCACCATGTTGCCCAAACTGGTCTCAGACTCCTGGACTCAAGTGATCCACTGGCCTCCGCCTCCCAAAGTGCTGGGATTACAGGCGTGAGGCCCCCGCACCCAGCTGGGAAACTTCCCTCCACAAAATTATTTGATAGTGAGTTTGCTTGTTTGAAGAACTGTTCCCTTCTGTGTTCTCATACATAGCAATAGACTGGTCCAATGAAATATGTGATTAACGTGGAAACATAACAAAATCAGCAAGGAAGAGAGACATAAGACATTTGTCAAAATTATGTTAAAACATAGTATTTTGCTTAATGGTAGTTTGTTTCAACAACAATCCTACATTTTTTAAAGTACAGAAAAAAATTTCAGTTTTTATATGTATGGTTTGTTTGTATCATCAGACTTGCAAACCATACATGTTTTGAGGAAGCTTATAATATAATAGAAAAATAAGGAAATTGTTCAAGAGATTTGAGTTCTAGTTCCTCTCAGCATGTTTTCTTATTAGTAAAATCAAAATAAGCTGTGTCCCACAGTTTTGTGAAATTTAGGCAATAAAACAATGGTTTCAAGTGTGATCTTTAGAATTACATAGACCTAAATTAGACTTTCTGTTTCAGGACTTACTCACAATGAAGCCTTTGGCATGTAGTTGAGTCTCAGCCTCATTTTCCTCATATGTAAACTACATCAGTGATTGTGATAATTAGGTTAGAAAAGCATTGAAAGTTACTTCTATACTGACATATTTCATAACATTCCTTTCCTTCATAGAATTTAAATAGAGTTAACTGTTTAAAGATTTGTTCTTTAAAGAGATTGTAAACTCCCTGAGGACAGAGACTATATAGGTTTTGTTTAAAGTTGTATCCCAGTCTTCTTGCAAAGCACTCTTTGCAATATAGGCTCAATAAATATGTGTTGAATAGAAGAATGAATGTCACTTTCCCTTCCTTTCTCTTGCACAAGCACACAGTAAATGTTTGGCAAATGAGTCCCAAAATGTAACATATTATTAATAATAATTATATGGTGGCAGACCTGAGAAAAATTTGAAACACCATTGTAAAACAAATTATTAGCATAATGTAATGTAGATATGGCACACCCAGCCCACTGCCTGGTTTTCTCTTCCCCAGTGATTTAAATATTAAAATTATTTGAAAGTATAAGTCTTTTCTACAGCAGATATAATTATTATGGAAACAAAACACCGAAAATTACCTTTGAAATATTGCTTGTAAGAACTAGATTTTTTTTCTTTTTGAGACTGGGTCTTGCTCTGTTACCCAGGCTGGAATGCAGTGGTGTAGTCACAGCTTACTTTAGCCTCAACCTCCTGGGCTCAAGCAATCCTCCCACCTCAGCCTCCCATGTAGTTGGGAACACAGGCACATGCCAAAAAGCCCAGCTAATTTTAAAACATTTTTAGTAGAGACAAGGTCTCACTGTTTCGCCCACACTGGTCTTTAACTCCTGGCCTCAAGGGATTCCCTTTCTCAGCCTCCCAAAGTGTTGGGATTACAGATTACAGGCATGAACCACCACGCCTGGCCTACATGCAAATGTTTATAGTAATTTTATTTCTAACTCCAAAAACTGAAGCAACAAAGATATCTTTCAGTAGTTGAATGAATAAACTGTGGTATATCCATACGATGGAATATTATTCAGCAATAAAAAGAAATAAATTCTTGAGCCACAAAAAGACATGCATGATCCTTAAATGAATTTGGTAAGTGAAAGAAGCCAGTCTGAAAAGTCTACATACTGTATGATGTTAGTTATATGACATTCTGGAAAAGGCAATATTATAGCAATAGTGAAAAGATCAGTGGTTGCAAGAGGATTGAGGGGAGGGAGAAGAATAATGAATAGGTGAAGCATGGGTGGTGAAACTGTTCTTTTTTCTTTTTCTTTTTTTTTGAGAATGAGTTTCACTCTGTCGCTCAGTCTGGAGGGCAGTGGCGCAATCTCAGCTCACTGCAACCTCCATCTCTAGGGTTCAAATGATTCTCCTGCCTCAGCCTCCTGAGTGGCTGGAACTACAGGTGCATGCCACTATACCTGGGTAATTTTTGTATTTTTAGTAGAGTTGGGTTTTCACCACATTGGCCAGGCTGGTGTCCAACTCCTGACCTGAAGTGATCTGCCTGCCTTGGCTTCCTGAAGTGCTGGGATTACAGGCATGAGCCACCGTGCCCAGCCAGAAACTATTCTGTATGATGCTGTAATTGTGGATACATGACCCTATGCATTTGCCAATACTCATAGAACTATTTTATAGCATACAGAATGACCCTTAATGTATGCACATTAAAATAAATCATTTAAGACTAGGAGGATCCCGGCTGGAACACAAAATGTGTCAATATGATCTGACTGTATTGTAATGTATGAAACAACCTCACTAAAGGTGTAGAAAAAAAGGTACTCATTTGGGAATGAGTGAAATTTGTAAGACTAAAGGTGAAAGGAATTGTACATATGCACTGTACTCTATTTAATAAAGTTGTTTCTCATGGGGAAGTAGGTTAACAATTCTGATACTGTTATACATGTATACTGCAATTAAATAATGAAGCAAATGTTTGGTATATGGTGGGAACCAAGTATTTCAAGTGGGAGGTTTTTTTTTTTCTTTTTTTTTTAGATGGGGTTTCACCACAATGGCCAGGCTGGTCTTGAACTCCTGACCTCAAGTGATCTACCCACCTCGGCCTCCCAAAGTGCTGGGATTACAGGTGTGAGCCACCATGCCCGGTGGAGTGGGAGTTTATCATAAGTAAAGGGAGGGGGGTAGAATGATTCATCTAGTAATGGATTAGAGTTGAGGCACCACATAGGTATTAATTCATATTTAGCTTAATATATATATAGATAGTTACATATAGAAATATTTATAGATATGTGTATAAAGATGTGCTGGTAAACATATGTGTACAGTTGACCCTCTATATCCATGAGTACTGCATCTGTGGACTCCACCAACTAGGATTCAGAAAAGAAATGGATGGTTACATCTGTATTGAACACATACAGACTTTTTGTGCTTGTCTTTATTCCCTAAACAATACAGAATACCAACTATTTACATAGCATTTACATTGTATTAGGTATTATAAGTAATCTAGAGATGGTTTGAAGGTATGGTGGGAGTGGGGCGTGGTGGCTCACACCTGAAATTGCACCGCATTAGAAGGCCGAGGCAGGCAGATCACTTGAGCCCAGGAGTCTATGACCAGCCTGGGCAACATGGTGAAATCCCATCTTTATTACAAGTCAAAAAAATTGGCTGAGTGTGGTGGTGAGCCTCTGTGGTCCCAGCTACTCAGAGGCTGAGGTAGGAGGATCACTTGAGCCCAGGGAGGTAGAGGTTGCAGTAAGCCGTGATGACACCACTGTACTTCAGCCTGAGTGACAGAGGGAAACCCTGTCTCAAAATTGATTAATTAATTAATTAATTAAAATGAAAACAAAAAAGTTTTTTTTTTTTTTTTTGGGACAGAGTTTCGCTCTTGTTACCCAGGCTGGAGTGCAATGGCGCGATCTCGGCTCACCGCA